GTCCTTTTAGAAAATACATTCCCTCACTTTACTGCCCCACGTATGTTGGCCAGGTGGCCTCTCTGCACCTGGGGGCACACACGTGTCTGCAACACCTGCCTGGTGGGTGCTCAGTAGGTAACTGTCCTGCCCTCACCCCACATGGCCCAATGAGTCAGTGATTACTCTGATTTTTAAAATTAACTTGATTAGCATTCATTCAAGCTCTAGAAAAGCATCTGGTGTCAAAAGGAAATGGGAAGGCAGGAGAGAGTTCATTATTTGCCATTTAGTCAGCAGTAGTAGTGACACTATCCTCAATCTGCCCTACTTTATGACAACCTGACATATTATGCTGGGAGGAACAGAATGAGTCTACAAACAAGGTTTGCCCCAGAAGCTAAAACAAATTACTGACATTTAAAGAGCAGTACTCACCCTCGGTTTATCTACAGGGGAAAGAAATTCACCCAGTGATGCTTCAGTATGCAGGAACAAAATTAGTTTTGCAATAATACACAAGAAAGAACATTCTCTAGGACAAAGGTCTCCTTGCCAAGAGCCTGGGGTGCAGCAGAAGTGCAGTTTTTTTTTTTAATCCCCCAAGGAGGGCTCAATTTTCTGCTCAGGGCATGAAGGTTCTGGAATTGGCCATGTGTGGAGGAGGGATGGGTAGGTCTTATTTAAAAAGCATGACAGTATTTCTGAGCATGATTTTCAGTTGCTAAATATAGGCTTAGCAACAGCACTGCTGATGAAATCACTCAGGAGACATTTTTAAAGAGAAGCAAAAGAAAACAGATTTGTGGTATACCCACAGCAGGACAACTGTTGTGGATGAAATCATTCCAACTTGTTAAGAAGACAAAAATGAACCCTGTTCAATTAACTAAATCCTTCAATTCACTCACTGTGTTGCAGCTGAGTGAATCTTTGGGACTCAGAAAAAATCCACATAGACATTGCAAATCCCTGAGTTAGCCCCAGGGCCAGACTACCTCATCCAAACCCAAAGCAGTTTGCTGAAGGTGGTTTTCACCAGTCACACTGACTGCAGGGAGGCTCACCTGGCAGCCTCTCCCATTTCTGGGTCAGACAGCGGTGAGTAACAGGCACTCAAAGAAAAAGAGAATGCACCTGAGCTAATCCCTTTATCCACACAGGTGCCCGAGGGCCTGGGGCTCACGTGAAAGCTGAGTACCAAGCCTGAGGATTCACTGCCACTTCTGGACACTGATGGGTTGAAGTTTCCTAATGATCTTTTATAGCTTCCTTGGCAGAGCCCCCACCTGACAACTGGAATGTCAAGCTGTGGCAGTGGGTTGGTTCCACCTTTGGCTATTCCGTGGACCTGCCCGGGAAGCTAGAGAAATCCTAATGCCAGGTCACAACCCCAAAGATTCTGAGGTACTCAGGCAAGAGTGTGGCCTTGGTCTTGGGATTTTTAAAAGCCCTGTAAATGGTTCTGATGTGCACATGTGGTTCAGACCCACCTAATTGCATTATCTCACTCAGGTTTTGGGGAACACAACTCATCACCTGAACTGAGGTCAAATATAAGGCCTACCAACAGAATTAGAATCCCTGGGACAGTTGAGAATGGCTTCAAGAATTATTTAGCTGGGCTCAGTGGCTCATGCCTATAATTCTAGCACTCTGGGAAGCTGAGGCGGTACATTTGCTGAGTTCAGGAGTTGTAGACCAGTCTAAGCTACAGTAAGACTCCATCTCTAAAAATAGCCAGGCATTGTGGAGGGCGCCTGTAGTCCCAGCTACTTGGGGAGGCTGAGGCAAGAGGATCGCTTAAGCCCAAGAGTTTGAGGTTGCTGTGAGCTATGAAGCAA